AAGCCACCAGTGCACATCCACTGAGAATGGACTTTACAGTGAAGTAGGAGACATCTTGTGTCCAGCAGGAAAACTTTAGAAATGAACAACATTTACATATTCAGAGACTCTGGAATTTTGCCTTGTTAAGGTGTGTGTGAAAATATACTTTTTTGTAGAAATCAGACACACATTATTGTTCCAAGCAGACTAATCGTACATTTGTCCTAATACATGTCTGGAGGGGATCTTTATTTCTTCATGCACTGTTTTGAGGTTTTGACAAGAAGTCATACAAGTTGTGTTCCTTATTGCAGCCTGACTCTGTGCCTTCCATGTAATCCTTGCATGAGCAGATTAAGATAAAATGGCCCCTGGGTACACACAAGTAGTAGCCCCCCTCTTAACCTTTAAAGTCACTTCAGGCAGAGACTCTTGCTTAGGGGCCTGACCTGTTTAGTCCCCTGGGTCCAGCAAGCCTGCGGTTTTGCAGCTCAGACTTTTGCGAGTCAGAGAATTGACTAACGAGAGGAGGAAAAATGTTCATGGGAACAAAGCTTACTGTGTGTTTTGAAAACATGCACATAGTCCCTCAGTGCCTTCTCTTTTATCCTCCTGAAGCAGAAAATATTTCCTCTGGTGTATACTAGTTTTAGCCAGTACTTCTCAGATCGTCTCTGTATTTGATCCAAACAAACATGGTAAGTGAGTGGGTCAAGGAATGCACATGCTCCTTGTGAACTGGGGTAAACTTTCTGTTCAGTGCACACTGGAGGGGGTAGTTTTTCAGTGGGAGGTTGGATGAGGATACTAAAAAGTTGGTAAAAACGGCTACCTCCTAATGTTATCATAAATGCTGGGGTGTCAGCTGTAAAAATGCAGATACTAGAGACTAGAGGTGCTGTCCTCTATTCAGATATACTGCAGTAAGATTCCAGTGTAGGCAAATGTCTTCCTGCTGAAGTGTCTTTGAAAAGCCAACCAACATATCTCCAACATATCACCCGTTGTTCACCTCTTTTCTCCTGTCTGTCTTCTCCAGGTGTGTAAGCGCATGGATATGATCTGCCAGCGTGTCCTGAACCAGGGCTTCCTGAAGGTGGAGCGTTACCACAGTCTGTGCCAGAGGCAAGTCAAAGCCCAGCTGCCCAGGTCAGTATCACACCAGGACCACTCTGCAGGAAACCCCCCTGCTGCTGAGCTTTAGCACATACTGTTCTGAAGGGACATTTTGCAGACTGGATTGGGGTTAGTGTCTTCGACTGTTTATCAGCTGTTTGGGACTTTGTGCCCCTTGTGATCGGCGGTGGTATTGCAGGGGGTTGGTGGAAGCATTCAGAAATAAATAGGTAGATGTTAGAGATGAAAGATCTGGATTTTTGGATGGATACGATAACCAGTAATTACCTGCTTCTCTTGGCTGATACCGATAAGATAACAGATATTTTTTTATTTTAAAAAGGAGTTAACAACATGTCGTGTATGCTGAATGATGTATTATTTAATATTCCATATTTTTGGTCTAACCAAATTCAACAGACATCACTATTCTCTTATATGACTCTTCATAAGTTTATTAAACTAAACAAACATACTTTATGTTTGTAAAAGCCAGTAAAAAATCCAAATGAATTATTATCCATATCAACTGGTATTTTATCGGCTGTAATTTAATTATCCCACTCATTTCTAATAATATAAATTTCCAAGTATTGACCAATAATTTCTGTTCCCATAATTATTGTGCATTCCTAATATATAGAGATGTTTTTTTCAAATTAAAATGAGATATTACTAATATATATCTATTTTCCCATTGAAATTATCCTAATTGGATTACTTAAGAAACTTAATGTGTGTCTAATTTGAATTTCTTACAACGCCGACAGCAATAACAAAAAAAACTTGACTCTGAGCTTCCAACTCATCTGCGCTGGCTGTGTAGTGACGGCAGCAGCCTCAGTTCTCTCTACACTGGATGTGTTCAACCACAGCACTGCAGTGCACTCACAGACTGTAAATGACAAGCTGATGTATGGCCGTGTTAACACTAGGGATGGGAATTCTGCTTATTTTTTATAGATTCCCTTACTGATTCCTGGTCGATTTCCTGTGTGGAAAAAACGTAACGTAGGCCTTCACAGCACCAGTGTTATTGTAATATAGGATGTCAAATACATAGTATTCCTGGAGAAACCCATGTTGCTTCGAAAGATGTTTCAGCATATTGTTAATGTTTCCATCCTCACTTAAAAGTATGATTTTACAGACACTATCACTGCTGTCATATTTCTTCATCAAATGAAGCCATGCTTTGTTCCTCTCCGCCATGACTCCTTCTTGTTGCAGGTTTCCAGCAGCATACATGCATGAGGTGCCCCGACTTAAGATTTTCTAGTACTAATTGTACTAGTAGTAGTTCAAGCCATGAGTCGACTAATTGTCGCATGTTTATGATATTATTTGTGCTTCCATTGCCTGCTCGCCTGGATCTAGTTCTGGTTCCCCTGCCCCCAGCCTGAAACCCCCCTCCTAACAGCAGTCCAACTCTCCTATGCCAGTAGTGTAAACAAACCTCCCCCTGTCCTTCGAGCTTCACAGTCAAGGGTACAGTCATCTAATAGGACCACTAAGTAGCTAATGCCTGCTAGTACAGTTTGCATATGCAACAGAGCACCGGTAATTGACTCCCTTTGTTTCAAGAGAAAGGGTCTGTGTGTGTTGTTCCCTGATAGTTTCATCCTGTGACAAGGCGCAGCTCCCGAACGGAGTTCATGTTGTTCTTCTTTGATTTTGTGATTATCCGACTAATGAAAAGTGGGCTGACTAAGGCTGTTCACAGCAACTAACTGTTGACTATTAAGGGCATAGTTTTGCTCTAGTACACTAGTGTCAGAAAAATATGCCGGCATCGAAGCATGAAGCTCTGAAGCATACAATTCTGATGGATCGGACAATTTGGAACCTGTTCTCAATTCCCATCACTAGTTAACAACTGTAGTACCTTAAACTGAAGCTACTGTACCTGTTCACCGTCACCAGACACAAACAGGTGACAGCCCACCGAGAAAGGCAGAAGTGAACAACCACTGCTGACAGTTTTTAGTTTATTTTCCAGATGTAATCAACAGGCTCTGTGTAGGAATGTGTCTCTTGAGGTTCATCACTAGGAGTCTGATACTTGCCTCGCCTGTGTAACAGTCAGTTTCACCTCAGCTCCAACTGTGGTTCTTCTTGATATTTCTGACATCACTGAACTGGCAGAAGTGTATGTGAGCAGTTGATTTGATTCAAGGCTCTACGGAAACCTTATGAATACATCAATTCTGCATGACTGAGTTATACAAGAATACATTTTTTTTATTTAATGTTAACCAAAGCCATCAGTAAAGTTGTGATGAAAACCTGTCTTCACCGCTGTGTTCTGTCATTAATTGTGTCCAGGCGAGAGTCAGAGAGGAGAAACCACTCACTGGCCCGTCATGCTGACATCCTGGCCGCCGTGGAGACCCGCCTCTCTCTGCTCAACATGACCTTCATGAAATATGTCGACTCCAACCTCTGCTGCTTCATCCCCGGAAAGGTTAGCTCATTTGCCTCTGGGCCACAGCAATAGTCTTCCAGACAGAGGAGCATCTGAAATGCCTCATTACAGCAGCAAGCTCGCACTAATGAGGTGACGTCTAAGTTAGTGAGGAGGAAGGAATCAGATTTACCAACAAATCCTTTAGAACACTGGTTCTCAAACTGTGGTACGTGCACCCCTAGTAGTACGCAAGCTCCCTCTAGTGGTACATACAGTTGTCACAATACTAGTATTAAAAACAGATTTTATTAGATTTTAAACCTCTTTCTATTCCATAGCATAGTACCTTGTTAAACAGGTGAATAATGTAATATAAATACTACTTATAATAAATTAGCATCATTAACATTGGATTGACCCAGGAATCTAGCGTTATATAACACAAAACAATACAAACAAACAATAGATACTATATCAACCAAGTAATTTTATAAAGCTGAAACAGAATTCCAAATAAAAATACAGAAACCATGAGATCCCTGAAATGTAATATAATTTGTAAGACATCCGTCCTTAGTTAGGATCTAAACTGTGTTGGTAAGATAGTGAGCAGAGGTAAAGTGAATGCTTAAAAAACTGGTCCATTCAGCATTCAACAGTCAACAATAAATAATCTTCTTATTAGGAATAAACCTGCCTCCTGTGAACCGCCAGTAGATGAATAGGGTCGGCCTACATTACTGTATTTTAATGTCAGCCATAATGGTGGTACTAATATTCATGTGTGTGCACGCAGTGTAAAAAGACTGATCTAGATTGGTAGTTCGCTTGCAAGTCATGATGGGACGGTTATAGATAATTTTTTTCCATCTTAACTGAATCATCTGGTATGTTCTATGCCAGTGTTAGCTCAATTATAGTCTTTATGTATTTGTTAAAACAGATCTATTTGTATTAATTGATCATATCTGGTCTGAATTTCCTCAAAATTACTTCAATATCAAAATGAGTGTTAGCAGTTATATACTCTCACCATGAACATTTCCTTCATGTTTATAACATTTGTTTCATAATAAAAATCTACTCGTGTGTAGCACGCTCAATTCTACAGATCTGGCTGTGAAGAATTCTGATAGCTGTCAGGTGTGTTATACTGGATGCAGTTCTCAGACCTGCCCAGCAGAGGACCCATTGAGCTTACGATGGGTGTAATAAAGCCATCAGGGTTTCAGTCATATCTGTTGTGTATCTTCTGAATTTCTGTCTTATTTGCGATGTCCTGATTATGTGCTGTCACATGTTTGTCAGGTGATAGATGAGATTTACCGCGTTCTGCGATATGTGAACTCCACTCGAGCCCCACAGCGGGCTCACGAGGTCCTGCAGGAGCTGAGGGATATCTCTTCCATGGCCATGGAGTACTTTGATGAGAAGATTGTCCCCATCCTGAAGAAGAAGCTGCCGGGGGCCGACCTGTCCGGCCGTCTCATTGGCTCTGCACCAGGTAACGGCCCTGGCTCATTTAGTTAAAAATTCACTCAACAACATCTCAGTGAGACAATAACAACATGTAAAAAAAAAAATGGCTCCTCTTTTGTCCTGCATCATGATTTAAATAGAAAAAAATTATTGTGGCAGAACATTGTTGAACATAGATCAGTGGTTCCAACCTGTCTCCTTCAGGGAGCCCTTTCCTATCAGTGAGTAAACTGACCAAGTCACATATTTTATGGATATTTCATATTATATTCAATAATAACAATGACAGTAGAGAACAGCTTTAAACTGTATAATGAACCCAAACAGTGAACACAATAACTGCAGGATGGTTGTGTAAAACCAGAGATTTGGATGAATTATTTCCTGTGAATGTTGATCAGAAAAGAGTTTCCCTGATATTGGATAACTTAATTTTTTTATATACTATCTAAACTTACAGAATCTTCACAGAAATGGTGGTAATGCTGTGATATAGGCCTTTCTTACACATCTTAAAATCAAGAAAGCCTCCCCACCCCCAGGTTGGGAACTGCTGAAGATCAAAAGCTTTGAAGAGTGTTGAGACATTAACTATTCAACATGTTCTCTTTGTGTATCATTGACACACATTGGACTAATTATGGATGGAGAAACTGCATGCTGATGCTTCCAAATAAGTCGACAAATTGGTTAGTTTATCAAAGAAAGAAAGAAATCAATTATTCATTTATGAACCAGAAATGCCAAACATTTTGTCTTCTGCCTCTGTTTCTTTGTTTTATCTCATGCTACATTGAATATATTTTAGATTTTGATCGGTTGGACAAAACCAGTCATTTTAAGATGTCCCCTTTGGCTCTTGCCAGTGGTTGTGGGGCATTTTATTTAATAAACAAGTAATTAATTGACAGATTAATCAACAACAAAACAATTTGTATTCAAACATTTGTATTGGCTTTTTTTAAATGCAAAACATACGCTACATACAATGGACAATCCCACAAACAATATTCACAAGCTATAGAGAAACAAAACAATGACAAAAACAGTACACATATAACAGAGAGTCGGTTCCCTGTTTAATTGTAGTCCTGTTTCAGTATCTCCAACATGTGCCTTCCAGACTATAAAATCCTTGGGTGGATCCCCTGGTTGGGTACTTTAGCTTCTCAGGCTTTAAATGTGTCATCACGTCTCTAACCCAGTGCCTGTGTGTAGGAGGGGCGCCTGATTCCCAGTTAAATAAAATAATGCGTTGTCAATAGCGATGAAAAGGCTATGGTGTCTGACTGGGCAACACACCTCCACGATCTGCTATTAAAACAGCAATCATTAGTTTTTAGCTGCAGTTAGGGCGGTTTGCCATAGTCTGGGTCCCTTTGTTCCCTCCAAACAGATATAACTTAAGCCAAAATAAAAGGTCTTGTTACATTTTTACTTTTTCCCTGCAGGATCTTGTCTTTTTTTGTTTTCTGTGCAGCAGTAAAATCCTGTAGTCCTCTGACCCTCTGTCCTGTTCCCCTCAGTGGCAGGTCCATCCACCTCCCTGACCACCATGTCCCTGCTGGCCAAGAACACACCGTCGCGCTCTGAGATGACTAAGGTGCAGCAGCAGGTGAAAGTGAATGGGGCGTCAATGACGGTGCTGCGGAGGGAGATGCAGGAAATTCGCGTCAAGCAGCTGGAGCAGCAGAAGCAGCTGCAGGACCAGGAACAGAAGCTGCTGGAACAGACCCAGGTGATCGCCGAGCAGAACGCCCGCCTCGCCGAGCTGGAGCACAAGCTCCGCGAACTGATGGACAGTAGCGCCGCAGCCATGGGAGGACCCAGGCCCGGCACAGCCGTCCCCTCCACATCCAGCACCGCTGCCGTGTCTTCCACTGTTGCCAGCACGTCTGCTACCGCGTTGGCAAGTGGCAGTGCGGCCGCAGCCTCCCTACCCAGAGAGCCAGAGGGCGAGGCAGGGTCATCACTCAAACGCACCAGAAAGAGCTCAGACCTTCCACGACAGTCCAAACGGCTGCGCAGCAAGAAATAAGAGACTCAGTGTGTCATTTAGTTGAAGTTTTGTTTTTTGGTTTCTGGTCTGACTGATCACACCGTATACCCAATCCCCCCGCGTCACTCATCACCCATACTGTCTGTGAGATGAGTCAGGAGTATCCCTGTATGCTTTGCTTTACCAGTGTTCTCTCTCTGCTCTGTACATGGGACTTGACAAGAAGAACAATATAGAATATCACCAGACTTATCCTTACAGGGCTTCTTAGCCACCTAACTAAATCCGAATATAGGCAGGTGGTCGGCCATTTGCAGCTAAGAAGACTATTTATTGAAGGTTACATTAAAATGACTGTACAGCTTTTTAATGTAGATGATTTTCTAAGAGGTTCATGTTTGCAAAAAATTTGGTTTGACATAAACGGGAAATCAGTCGGTTGGTGAAATTGATTAATAGAGGTCACATTGTTCGTGTGATTAATGCAATTCTTGTTTTATCATTTCAGAAACACAGGAGTCATGACAGGCCTTAAATCACAACATTAACGCAGTCGCATGTTATCAGTAATCAGCAATCTCATTTCCATTTTCATGTGGGTCTAAAACAGTCTAAATCCACAAGCATTCATTTCGTTCACAGTTGCTTCTTCCTAACTCCGGTTAAGTGCAATAAAAAACATCTAAAAAGTAATTTATATTCCTTGCCTGTAGCTTGGTTGGAAAAGAAAGGATGGAGTCTTAAGGAAGTAAAAAGGGCGGCATTCCCCACTTGAAAAAATGGAGGTAGATGTTTGCGAGGGGATTTTCCTTTCCACTGTGCCTCAGCAACCACTGACAGATATCATTGTCCTCTGATCCCTAGACATTCAGCAGTGTTGTGTGTGAAAATAATAATTTCTTTAAAAGGGTTTCAGCGAGAGCAGACCTTTCGGCCCACCTGATGTTCTTGTTTGTCTTTTACCTGCTGTCCAGTGGCGAAACAATGTTTGGCATCTATCCTTTTAGGATCATACCAGTGTTTTTACATATTTTATTCTCTGTTATTACAAAAATGGGAAAAATACAACTTGCATCTGCACAATCATGCTTCATTTTATAGCAGCAATTTCTATCGAAATCACTGTTCTAAAGTCTGACAAAAGATATTAACTCATCAACCACATCTAATAAGTGGACCTTTTTTTTCTTTTTTAATCAATCTTCTGTTTCCAATTCCACAAAATCAAGATCCACTTCCTAGCTTTTTTTTTTTTCTACAGTGCTTTCAAGCTGCTCCAGGTAGGGCTGTGAATTGGCAAGAATCTGGCGATACGATGTGTATCACTTTACAGTGGCTGCGATTCAATATATTGTACCGTAAGCAAGGTGATGTATTGCATTAGCATTTATCATAGTCCCTGTAACATCCAAAATCATAGTCCTTTACAACACTGCTAGTGGTTGGGGGTTTAAACACCAATCGATAGTGTTTTTGAAAATCAATACAATATATCGCGATACTCAAGTGTATCGATATTTTCTTATGCCCCTATTTTTATTTTTCAACCGGTTGCGGTTGAAGTTTTGCAGTTTCTAGTGACTGTCAGATCATCATATAAAGTGTTGACATGATCATGTTGCAGATTGCTGTTACACTCAAACACTCAGTGTTTCCCTGGCTAATAGTTGTAGCAAATGGATGAAAATTGAGAAAAACACTTTTATGGTCCTTTTTAAAAGTCAAAGTAGAACTTGTATAATTCTTTTTTTTTATTTTTTAAAAAGTACACTATATATGTGATGACATTCAAGCGTTATGTTCACGCAAATGGAAAATCTCACTTAATCTCTAGTGCCATGCTGATTGTTTTTGTTTTGTCCACCTTTTAACAAGGCAAGCAAATGGAATTTAGCTGCATGGATATACACCACCAGAGCGAAGTGAGAATATATTGTGCCACTTTTTTTTCTATGTTGCAACTTTAAAATTAAATCTAAAATCAGCCTGTCGGAGGTGGTATAAGGGAATTACCAGAACTTCTGACTGGTTTGCAGTGACGGTGGAGGGGTGCTCAGCAGAATGGCTCAGAGTAAGATTAGTCTCCCCGGCTGTTGTTTAAGAAGCGTCGCCCAGCTCCCCTGTGCAGCGGTACTCTTCCCCTCTCATGTGAGGCTAGGTTAGCTGTGAGCCCATATTGTGGCAGCACGTTTGTTTTCTTCGTTTGAAGCTTTTCTGTTGTTTGGATGACCTGAACCACTCATGGCATGAACTTTTGGTAAAGAAACTTTGGGAATGCAGTTCACGTCTTGGTGAACACTAGCGTGTATTATAACGACACTGGGCAGAAAAACACAAGATGATGTAATCTAGTGGCTTAATTTGAGACTGCGTCTCAGTTTAGAAAATTGTACTGTAATCTTCATGTACTTTAAAGTGTAGATTGTGAATTATTTCATGTATGTATACCAAGAAAACTATCTTTTGAGTTGGCCAACTTGGGGCTAACTGTACGGTTTTGTTGCACACATTACTGTTACAACTGTACAAATCAAACCTATTAAAGCTCAACTTAACTTATCCACACATCTCTGTATGTTTGCACCCATTACAAGCTGTTTTTACAGCAGTCATAATTTATATATAAATGGGTACTCCAATGATTTTAGTTTTGTACAGTTGATGCACTCTTTCAAACTGTCTACACCCATGCTAGAGTCTCACTGAGGCTGCTGGTAGTCTGAGCTAAAATGCAGATGCAAAGCAATATAATATTAACCATGTTCACCAGCTTGATGTATTAGCATTATAGCATTAGCAACTGGCTCAAATACATCTTAGGCTTATGGGAATGTTTGTAGTTTTGCAGGTATTTGGCAAGTGGCAACCTCAGTGGCTGCAAATAAAGCCAACACAAGTGCCAAAACTGCAGTTCCTTTAACGGCCACTAGAGGCTGGCTCCAGCAGTCAGTCAATCTCCATAAGGCCCCATATTAAAATGCCCAACTTTACAGCCAAAACAGTTTTGGTCTCTATAGCTAATTAGGGGGCGCCAAGATAGCTAACATGGTAGCGCTGGCACCCGATGTACCAAGGCTGAGTCCTTGCTGCAGCAGCGCAGGGTTCAAATCCAACCTGTGACCCTTTGATGCCTGTCATTCCCTCTCTCTGACCCCCTTTTCCTGGTTATCTTCAGCTATCACTATCAATTAAAGGCAAAGCAAAAAAAGACTTTAAAAAAATAAAGATTCATTGATATTAAGGCTTAGATTTATGCGTAATTAGGGAGTGGCCGCTTTGAGTGACAGGTGGGTGCCGTCAGAGGCGGCCGTTTTTAGTAACCAGGCTTCATTCAGCCCAATTCAGCTCCACCCACGCTCCACGCATTTTTTGATTGTGTCATGGTAACCCATACTACCAGTACCCACTCTAAGTGTCCTTTTCACATGGTTTTAAATGACCAGTGTGTATGATTTAGTGGCAACTAGTGATGAAGTTGCAAATTGCAATCAATTGAAAACCACTTCCCAAGCATGTGGCTTTGAAAAATGTGCCCTATCTAACTGTAACATTGTAGCTATAACATTGAGTACAGGTCACATACTGTAGCAGAATGTTCCACATGATTAGTGTTATTCAGGAACAGTGAGATTAAACACAGTGTTTGGTGTTGGTGTTAACAGAATATTCATTGTAATGCCATCATTTTCTCTCGCCCTCAGCTTCCTGTGGAACAAAACAGGAAATGTTCCATTGTCTTTATGTTCTACAACAGCGATAGCAGCCCTGTACTCAGATAAGCTGAAGAGGAACTGCTTGAATTTTTAACGGCCTTACGGCCAGAGGTGAGTCTACATCATTTCATACAGATACTTTAATTCCTTCTAAGTATCTCTTATATCAAAGTCAGCACTTTCACTCAGTATCCATAAAAGATTTGCCAAGATTCAGCACCCTTGGTTCATAATTTATGATTTGTGTCTTTATTTGTAAAGTATTTATTTCACAGCCAATTTACATTTCTGAAATATAATATTTAAAAAAATTATTTTAAATTTCTTGTTAATGAAGAGTTCCCAACACATTTTACTGGTTCCATTAAATAAATAAAAGGTAAATAATGAGAGCCTAAGAAGTAAGAAAGAATAGAATATGTTAAGATAGCAGATATAAATGTTTCATCATTATGCTTTAGTTTAACATCATTCAATCATTTCATCTTTTTCCATACACAGGGTCCAAACTACGGGGGAGCCAGGGAAGCTTGGCTCTTCTTAATAAGACACGAGCTCCCTTGAAAATATGATTTGTAATATTTTGGGGCTTCTCTAAAATATTGACCGTATGATATATTTGCCATTCATTTCTATCTTTCTGTATCTTCATCATCAGGGATCATGTTTAAAATCTGACATGAGGGTGAGCTCATTCATTTTAATACAGATACTGGCAAGCATTCTATTCTTGCCATTGTATCACATCAAGATCAGAAAAAAACAATAACCAAAAATCCACCAGAAAATTACAATAATCTAAAGACCCCTTTGACCCATAAACGAAGTTGGGGGATGTCTTGCAACAAAGTTCCCCATCAGGAATCAATCGTACACGGTATGTGCCAGACTACACCCAACTAACACCTTCTGGGACCCCTTTAAAACCACATGCCAGTGTGCCAGAGTGTCTTCAAGAGGTGTGAAGATTATGAATTACAGTGACTGGAGAATAACAGTAATTGTCTTTGCTTTCCACATGATTACACTCTCCCAGTTGTCCCAGTTAGGCTTGATGAGATCCCTCAGGGCTTTATATGAAGGGACACTATTCTCCTTTGTTGCACATACAGCTCTGGTGTTGTTGGTGAGGAATATTCTCAGGCTGTTGTATATCATTCTCACTCTGGTCAGTGGGGACTGATGACTGACACTGATGCAGCTGCCATGTATGGACTACACTCATAAAGCAACTTTAAAATCTTAATAGACAAAGCGTTTTAGATTTGAAGTGTGTTAAGTTTACACTGGGAATTTGTTCAAATTCTTTATTTTCTGATGCCGTAGCAGTCAACTATTCCGACACCCAGGACTGTAGCTACCATTGAGTACACAGAGGTCTTGTCCTCTCTATTGTTTCTGGACACGGTCTTAAAGCTGCAGTAGGTAATTTTTATAAAAAAATAACTTTTTGTAATATTAACTAAAACTTTTACTATACACTGACACAAGTACATAATCTGTGAAAAAAAATCAGGTTCCTCTTAGTGCTTCTAATGGCATTTGTTAGAATCCACCGGGCCTGAACAAAAATAGCCAATCAGAGCACTAGAGAGATAGAAAGACACTTTGGGTTAGAGGCTTTAAGATGGTTGATCGTTGGGTCTCATTCTCAGATTCCTAAAGCGTTTTTATATGGCACCAAGGGAATGAGACACTCAGCTATCTTCCTTGGCTCTGATTGGTTGTTTTTGTTTCACAGATTATCTGTCTCATGTTACACTGTCAGGATATAGTGAAAGTTTCAGCAAATGTGACAAGATATTTTTATAAAAATTGCTTTGATAGGCATGATTAAAGTAATTAGGCCTATATTAAACAGTTTCATTGCTATTAAAGACACAAGTTCAATTAAGCTTTTTATAGCAACAAACTGCTGCAATAGTTAATAGTCTGGCTAACAATGAAAGGAGGATGAGCTGCTGTTATGTAATTGTAATTGGACATGTTATATAGCGACGGCCTGCCGGTGGGAGGAGCTGCGGAGAGCGGGCAGAGCCGACAGATGTTCGGGCAGGTCACACTCACTGACTGAGGAGAGGAGGAGGAGGACCGTAGAGGAGAACCACAGAAGAGAACCACAGAAGTTCTCTTTTGAAACGACCGTGTGATATTTGGATACTTACCTGTTTGAGGAAGTTGTTTGAAAGAGTAATAAAAAAGATGGGGAACCGGGTCGCCCGTGAAGACTACGAGTGGGTGTATACGGACCAGCCGCATGCCGACAGGAGAAAAGAGATCCTGGGTGAGCTAACTCTACCTTCCGTTAGCAAGTTTTGGATAAACCTATTTAACTGAAGTCAGATATAACTGTTGCCTCAGCTGGGTGTCTGTTGGGAGTTCTAGCGATAGTTAAACATGTGATGGTGCTTTAAATAGCTATACTACCACCAGAGTAGCTGGCTCGGTTTGCTAACTAAACGTTAGCTAACGGTTTCATATCCGCCGGGCATTTGCTAGAAGTGCTAGCGAGCAGACACAGGTTAATGTCGGTGAATAGTTAACGACCGTTCTACTGACTGACCGCCACCACCAATGGCTGTTTTATAAACATGTAACGTAGATATGTAACGTTGTGTATGTAATTTACAAGCTAGTTGCAGCTTGTTAGCTTAATGATATATTAGCAGTGCAGCGTTACAGGAGTCACTTCGCCACTCCCTGAAATGGCTAAAGTGACTGTGGAGCTTCCCGCAGCAGAAGTTGCGGTAACGGTTCACACGGTGCCGGAGATGGACGGCGTTACACCACAACGGAACACTAGAAAGACACGTCTGTGTAGTCAGTAATGTAATCCAAGAATGTTAAGTAGCGGGATTACTTTACGTTACTTCCAATGATCTCATCACATTCTACAAGACAAAAGAACAGTTTAAGCTTTTGAAGAGAAAAAGGACAGATTTTTAGCATCAAAAATGTTTTTAAAGAAACTGATGCATGTTAAAATTGTACTCCTGCTAAATAACTTCTTACTAAATGTAACTGTAATCTGATTACTAACTTTTTTGTATCCTTATGTCAGTTACATAACCGTTACTCCCTATGAGACGGAGTGGCATTTTTGTTTTAAAAATTGATGAAAAGATTAAATGATAAACAATTAATTTTCTGCCATCTCAGCTATAATTCTAACAATGGATTTGTGTTAGTCTTTGGGGTTCGGGCTGTCGGTAGGACAAACAAGACATTTGAATGTCTAACCTGGGTCTGTTGTAAATTGCGATGATGTAACCAGATAATTAATTGATTAAGACAATAAGCAGGACAGCCATAGAAAGTGTTAATTGTTAAACTGTAACTATACCGCTTTCGGTAAAGTTAAGTTCAGTCCAGCACCTTTGCTATTTTTACAAACCTTTGGATCTTTATTATAAGTCACTGTACGTTGTAATTGCTGTATGAACATTGAGAAATAAGAAATTAAGAAAATTAAGCACTTAATGATTGAACTTTAATGGAGGCTTGAATCTAGGGGAAGCCCGATATGCAGTGCTCCATTTATTTTGCGGCAAACACAAAAGGCCTCCTTGTGTCAAAGTGCCCTTTTATGGAAGTCAGGTGATCTGCCTGTGACCAGAACTTTGTTTTGGAGGATTGACGACGTCTACATTTCTGTAGATTTTGTATTTTCAATGTCTTTTCACTGTTAACATAACACACACTCAAGTCAATTAGGCGACACAAAGTACTGCCATTGTGCTGGGAGTGAGAGCCCATCCGTTGATAAAAGATACTCATTGACAGCAGGGCTGTCTCCTGGGCTCAATTATTCATGTTAGTACATCCTGAAAGCAGCAGTGTCAGGAGGCTCAGCCACTGCTACAGGATGGATTAGTAAGGCTGCTGTGAATGTGTTTTCACATGTAGCAGACATGGTGTCTAAAGAGCAGCAGTTTACTTAGAGCTGGCTATGAAACCTCCAAGCTCATAGAGTTATATCCATGCTGAAAGTTTAAAGTGTCTTCTTGGTACTGGTGCTGAAACTATTGTACCGGCACCAGTATTCAAAATGTTCAAAACGCCACTCAGCTTTTTTTTATATGGTTAAGCTTACCAGCAGTGTTTCTTACTGGTTGACTTATTATAGAAAACAAATGGACACCACAAACGGAGAAACATGAACCACGTACCCAGGATCTGTAAATGAGTTTACAGCTTTGCTGTTTGCTGAGACTAACCAGTTCTCAGGCAGAAGGAATGCGCACTTGTTTGTTCTCGACAACTCTTGAAAGCAAGTGAAAGAGAAAGCAAGATGTAGGCATACATCTTGGAGGCTCCTGTGCTCGTGGGACAGAGTCGGAGAGATACAGTAGTTATCAGAAGGTTGACCGTATGTTGTCAGCAGGATGAAGGTGGACTGTAAGTGCTAGGCTTCATAGATGAATAGAGACTCAGACAGACCCCAGGGCTCAAAATGAACTTTTTTACTTGTTTATTTCTAACTAATTAAGACTGCAGTGCAAATCCAAGCCTGTTTCTGATTGCAGTGGAAATGTACATACACACTTTGAATGTTATTATTTAGCCAAATAATCACAAACTCATTACAGTGACATTGTATATTTGAAGTAAATAGTTCTAGAAAGCAGCAGTGAAGGTCATACAAACTATTTACATATTTACAAGCTCAAACAAACTATTTACATATGAGCTATAGCAAAACCCTAATTCAAAGATCCAGAGATAAAGAGTGAGGGCTAAGGACAAACAAATGATTCACATATTTATAAGATACGGGAACACCCTAATTCAGAGAGAAAGAGTGAGTGAGAAGATCAAACGTGCTCCACACGCCACATCCACTGACTGCGTGCACACAGCACAAGAGGAGAGGTAGAGGCCCCGGTGCTGGTATGGCAGAAGAGCTGTGGGCTGAGATTACTGTGAGTAGCTTGCATAGGATATCTGAATATGTGTCTTGCCTTTCCTAATGGTCTGAATATGTCGCTAAGCTAGAAAGGAAGTTGCCAACACAGGGACTCTCTGTGATTGGTTTTTGTATGTAAACATGGCTGTGACATCTGTAATTTGACCAGTTAAAATCATATATATTCCATAACATTTTACACTGTAAAGAATTGCCTCACGTTGTATCTTTGTGGCCCACGGAATGATTAACAGGTACTTACCATTATCAAAGAGTTTAAGTTTGGATTTGATGTCATCTGGAAGGTTATTCCAGAGAAATGACGAGGCATAAGGAAAGGCCCTGCAATTAAACTATTTTATTTTTTCATATGTTTATTGGCAGTAGGCGTAAAAATATGGATTCATCAATGCATTGCAATATCGATTCATTAAATCCTCTGAATCGATTCAAGCCCCTGGCCAGTGGGGGTGGGGTGAGCTTAGTCTAAAGGTCAGCACATTGTTAAACACATCAGTTGTCTTATCAACACTTGGTTTTTTGCAAAGTCAGCCACCGTTAAAACAGCATGACATGGCTTACACCTTGACCTGAAAGAATGGCTCTCACCAGCCAGTCTGTGTCTTTGCAGGTAGACACATTTAAACATTTTGGCAAAGGAGTGGGTGTGAAAATGAGTCAATCCTGACTTCACCTGGAAGATCTCAGTGGTTTTAGTGTTGATCAGTGTATGGATAGATAGATGTTTGATCATATCACACACCACAGTGGAAGATCGCGTGACATGATCGAAAGCTCCAGTGCTGTTATTAAGTGGCCCGGGTGAGATTGTTTTGTCAACTATCAAATAAGTGAGCTAAGTAAAGTAAAATGGATGGAAATATTTACATAACAGTGAGTTAAAACAATACAATGACAGAATAACAAATGTACATACGTATATACGATTTATACACGATTGGGAAGACTGTACAACTGTTGATGATTTACAGCAACTGCTGAGTGTTAGCAGAATGTTAGTTCTAAGCAAAGAAACAGGTCAGCACTTTCAGCATGTGGTCTATATACCTGCTGTACGTTTTGCAGTGTTCAGTAGACGTTCAAAATCACAAATACAGCTCAGTATGCAGTGTAAGAGGATCTGTATTTGATTAATGACGGTGATGATGGTGCAGAGTGGCTAACACATGAGTGATGTGGAAGGTATGTAGGAAGTCAGCTGATAACTACACACTGCTGTCAGCTTCCACAGTGCCTCTTGTCATTAAACAAACACACAGCTCACAGCTTGATCCATCAGAATTTTATATGAGAATGAAACACTGCAACCGCAATGTCATGCAATGGGGAAGAGATAAACCATAGCTGTTACTGCTGGAGATGATTGACAGGGTTCTGGTATTTGGAGAGTCGAGGCTGACCCGATGACCTGAATCATTTAACCATTAATTTACCCTAACAGCCTGGCTGCTTCACGCAGGAGAGACACAAAGTACATGCCTCAATACTGGGCAGGGTGCAACACTAAGGATTGCCTGGGGCAACGCTTTTAGATTGAGTTGTTTTGTAGTTGATGGATGCTGCTTAAGAATTAGATTAGATTAGATAGATAGATACTTTATTCATCCCCAAGGGGAAATTCACAAAGGGTTAGGGTTCGACTTATTGGCATTATTGTACTTTGTGTCTTAATGTTTTTTTTGGTCTTTTAATAATCTTTGTTATTTTATAACCACTAATAAATGAAACTATTTGTAAAAATTGACTTTGGGCAAGTAGTGTTTAGACCCACTTGCCCAACCAGACATGTTAAAATAAAAAATTAACATTGAACACTAGTAATAATTTTCACTGGCTAGTCTGGTGGATTATTGCTCAAAATCTTTGAGTGTCCTCAAACTTGTGCAAAAGGCCTGGAGCTGAATTACGTCTTCAGCAAGTCACCTGAAATCCCTTTACATGTTTACTGTTCTTTAATCTCCCATCAGTGAGTAAGATAAGAAAGATCTGATAACAGGATTTACTTCATAGCTACAGCCTACATCTCTATTGCTGCCCCAGTTAGAGAGGTGAGAGACAAAAGTTGCAAATATCAGCTGTCTGCCAGCAGTCTGTGGTATTTGAAGGATAAAATTTCCATTTTCTTTCAATTAATAATGTAAAATAAGATAAATATCTCCAAATGGTAATGACCACTTAGGATGTTAGCTAACAGGATCTGAACTGGCTTGGTTTCTCTTTCATTCTCTTTTATTACAACAGTGTTCAATCGCAATAAAGTGTGACCCACTTATTCTTTTGATTAAAAAAATATTGATTATATACATCTTCATATTAATTCTTGATAAGATGACTTGCAACACATTAGTAAATGTAGCAGGTGAACAGAAATATAGTAATTGACAGCAGATTTATAATTTGTCTATTAATTTACCATAAAAGATCATGTAAGAAGATCACATAAATATCAACCAGTTAGAAGGAATCTTTAGTATTTGAGGGAACATAAGGGGCCTAGTAGCGAAATCATGAATGTCATACGACTAATGTGAGCTACTTTTCAGAGCCTATGACTTATTGTTTTTTTTTTTTTAAATCGGGCCAGTGGGTATCAGAATGTTGTGCAGAGTACTGGTTGTGCCACGGCACTGCAGGTGACGGATTTTTACTGCTGCCTTATCGGAGAATGGAATGGTAAAACACATTTCACAAGGGGCCAATCAGTAGTTGACTCAGCTACACTGAAATGTGTCTCTGTACACAGCATGCTTTTCTTTATAGTTGAACAAATAATGCAGACGTATCAAAGCTCTGTTCTTTTCACATTGACACATCCGCTGATTGAAATCTGATACAGTTTGATTTCCAGCATATGAATCCTCACTGAATTGAACTCTTGCTTTTCTCCTGCAGCCAAATACCCAGAAATCAAGTCGTTGATGGGTCCGGACCCGAGGCTGAAATGGATTGTGTGCATGATGGTGGCTATACAGTTTTTAGCTTTCTACCTGGTCAAAGACTTGGACTGGAAATGGGTTTTGTTCTGGACTTATGCCTTCGGGAGCTGTATCAACCACTCAATGACCCTTGCTATTCACGAGGTCTCCCACAACACGGCCTTTGGAAACAACAAGGCCATGTGGAACCGCTACTTTGCCATGTTTGCCAACCTGCCCATCGGCCTGCCCTACTCTGCCTCCTTCAAACGCTATCACCTGGACCACCACCGCTACCTGGGAGGAGACGGCGTAGATGTAGACATCCCCACTGAGTTCGAAGGCTGGTTCTTCTGCACGCGTTTCCGCAAGTTCGTCTGGATTATTTTGCAGCCGTTGTTCTATGCCATCCGGCCCCTGTGCATCAACCCCAAACCCATCACTCAGCTGGAGCTGACCAACGTGGCCGTACAGCTCATCTTTGACTTCCTGCTTTACTGGCTGTGGGGGGCCAAGCCCGTGGTCTACATGCTGGCCGGCTCCATGTTGGGCATGGGCTTGCACCCGATCTCCGGTCACTTCATAGCTGAGCACTACATGTTCCTCAAGGGTCACGAGACATACTCTTACTACGGCTCCCTCAACCTGCTCACCTTCAATGTGGGCTACCACAACGAGCACCATGATTTCCCCAGCATCCCAGGACGCAGACTGCCCATGGTTAGTACAGCTGGGTGACTAGACCCCAACTGGTCGAGGCAGACGACCACCCACCTAGAGCCGAAGGGTCTGTCCAAGGTTTCTGCCTGTTAAAAGGCAGTTTTTCCTTGCCCCCGTCGCCAAGGTCTTGCTCATGGTGGTACTGTTGGGGGTATCTGTAAATGTTAAAAAGGAGTTCGTCTACCTCCTGCCTCTATTTGAAAAGTGTCCTGAGATAACTTCTGTTATGAATTGGCGCTATACAAATAAAATTGTTACCCAGAGTTTTTTTCACAGCAGCCATTTTTGACATGAAATGGTAGGGTAAAGTAGTATCATTGATAACACCCGTGTTTACCCTACTATTTGATGTCAAAACGGCTACTGTGAAAAAGGTCTGTTGTTACCCACAAGTGGCAGACTTTTGAGTCAGTCCGCACTGTCGGTAACACTTCCTTCCTTGAGGTTAGTAAAAAAGAAAAGAATTTGGGTGGAGACAAATGCGTCTAGGCAGGCAGCTTAACTAAATCCTCTGACAAACAGTGAATGTGCAACTGTGGCCGTGTGGTGTTTCACTGTCTCAGGGTAAAGTCTGGTTGCTGTACTATATGCAGGCGTTTTTGCCCCAATCTCTTCTTGCCTCTTTGGTTAACTTAATGACCAAACCCACTTGGATAGTTTGCTAGTTAGATTGTCATTGACCACGTAGCATTAAAAACAACACAAGACAACTGATAAGAATCAAGAATGCAGCACCAACAAGACGGAGATTTTAGTTTACTAAGCCAATCTTGAGACAAAGGGAGTTCTAACCAGAGAGGGTTAGATATTGAGATAACACCAATTAAATCAGTGTCTTTATGATGAGATAATTAGGTCATGGTGGTGGGTCCAAAAGGAATGTATCTACCTTTGATCCTTCTCACTTCTTTTGTTACATTTGTAGATATGGGTTGTGAACACTTAAAATCAGGTTCTTTCAGTAAGTGTGTGTAAGGACTGTAAATGTACACTCCCTGATTATTATTATCATTAGATTCAATCTGCCTGATTTAGGTACAGCGAAAAATACAGTAACAAAGTGGATATAGGTACTCGGCACAGGTCAGTCAGTTCTCCCCGGCCACTGCTGTGTAGATTAATGCAATTGCATGCTAACCTTAATGTGCTAAAGTGATAGACTTTACATGTAAACAGCTAGCATTTAACATGCTATAAATTCATACTTAAAGTTAACAGGTAAATGCTAAATGTGTATATGTATATATTTTTACTATTTTTACTATAGATTTGAAGAGGGTCAGAAATGAATACCTGCCAAGCATCGAATGTTTTATATAATCAGCAGAAAGATAAACTGAAATCTTCGGCAGTAAAGATAAGACACTATAAAACAAGAATTATCTACTGAATAGAGCTGTAAACACATCATCCAGTGCGGGGGGCACGTGACAAAAAGCCTGTAAAAAGATACTGTCGTTCATTCACTACATACTGGAGGCAGACTGAAACAGCAGCACAAGGGTTTGCCACTGGGAGTTTTTGCATTTGGTAATTGTTTATTATGAGGCTCAGTCATTTCCTGGAAGGAAGTATGCAGTGGGATTCTAATTATTGGAATAATTGGAATGTCCAAGAAAAAATATTAATTCATTATTAATTTATTATTGGAAATGTTATTCTATATATATGGTCTGTTGAATTGTATAGTTGCCTGTAGACAGATTACTAGAAACTAATTGACCTCAGTGAGAACCTCAGCTTCCTCCTTTCCTGTATGTAGATATGCTATGTGCTAGGCTAGTCTGTGTTGAAAATACATTATGAAGATGGTTAAAAGATAAAAATAATGTGCATTTATAGTCACATCTTAAGTTAGCTTAAGTTAGCTAGTTAGTTTGGTGTTTTTCTACAGAGCCAAACGCTAGATAGCTTATCTACAATAAAAGTTAGCTAGCTAGTTAGCTAACTTTTGCTCACATTAGCTAACTTAAGCTATACAGTGTATGTCACTTTCATCGTTTAACCATCATCGAAATGTGGTGTTTGCAACATAGATTAGCCTAGCACATAGCATATCTAATACAGGAGAGGAGGAAGCTGACTGAGGTTTAAAAGGGGCGGAGCTTATGAAGGGTCTACTGGGAGTGGACCAATTGATCACCGCCTGTATTTTCACATTTCACATTCTTTTTTCAACAATAGGGAATTACAGACCTGTAAGATAAAGCGTTAGCATGTTTTTTTATTTTGATTTAACTATTTAAGCTATAAAACACAACACATTCTCCTAAAATTGAGGGTTTTACACCAGTAGCATTACAGAATTAGATTGATATCCACAGGCTTTATCAGCTCTGTCCACCCACAGTTAATCACATTAATCAGCGGGCTGTCAGAGCCGCATTAAAAGCACCCAACCCTGCTGTTTGACTGTGTGGAAACAAAAGTGAAAGTATAAAATGATCACTATGTTTCAAACATGAAAGCATGCACAGGACTCTGTGAAACATGAACTGTCTGAAATGTTCTTTTTGCTTTCCAGGTGAAGAAAATAGCAGCAGAGTATTACGATGACCTGCCTCAGTACACGTCGTGGGTCAAGGTCCTGTACGACTTCATCATGGACGACGCGCTGAGCCCGTACTCTCGAATCAAGAGGAAGCTGAAGGGAGACGTCAAGCAGGAGTAACTTCCACCGAAAGCTTCTCAGGAACAAAGCAGCAGCGTCCCGGCTCACCCAATAAACCTAACAGCTTCCTGCATATTAATCCGTTCAGAGGTTGTGTGTGTGGGTTGAGAACACCGTTTGATGATTTGGTAACCAGGTCCTTCTGTTAGACTGAAGGTACAAGAGGTTATTGTTTGTTACCTCGGACTGGTTGCACAAAGACTTCAACAGTTCAACTTGAGATAGATGTCTAATTTGTTGCGTATTCTGAGCGAAGTCTGGATGGATTGTTGTGATAGTGGGTTCAGACACTCCTGCCCCCCTCAGGATGAAGTATGAATTATATTGGTGATCTCCCGACTTTTTCAAGATGTAAATTTGAAGGCAGCTCTTTCATGGCTGTCAGAAATTGAGTGCTCTTCACACGTCAGCTCTGCCCCCCCGAGTGGTAAACATTGAGCCACATTGTCCTCTGCTTGTCTGCAGCTTAACTCAGTCTTTATTGGAGTGTTTTAGCTTACATTAGGCTAGCAAGATCAAACTAGTTTTATCTGAAGATGTCTTTATGCAACCAGCCCCAGAAACCATCAGATAGCTACGACAGCTGAACGTGAGGCCACACATTGTTGGAGCGCCTCCTCCAGTTTGGAACCTGCCACAGAGATTAACTGTACACAGCTGAATGAACATAGACCTCCCTCCATTATGGACTCTACAGGTCAACATGAAAGCAGCCGTGTGTATGTGTGTGTGTCAGTCAAAGTTCAAAACTGAGTTAATCCCCTCATATAGATCCCCCCCATGCCGTCATGTGAGTGTGGTCCGGTCTGTTTGATATCCCTTGTATTGAGTTCATGAGGAGGCTTGTGTTGGTTGCTTTATGTGTTATGTACAAGTTAGCGTTTTTTTTTCCCTCCCTCAACCACTCTGCTTTTTAACGTGCACTTTATTGTACCCCATTACACAACCTGTTGCCACGCTTCCATACAAAGTGTGAAATAAGAGTCGGTTGGAGGTTGTGTGTGAGATGAAAGTGTATTCTGATCAGTGCCTCTGAGCTTAATTAATTTAAATTGTATGAATTTGTTCACTTGCTGTCGGCTGTAGCTAGCACTGAGGTCATGTCCTCTGTGTCTTATGTTTGAAATCGGGACATGAAGCAACCTGGAACAAAATGAAATATGGTTACTGCTAAATTGGTTGATTCTACTGTAGCATTTTTATATTCAATAGTTAACTACCTTAAAGCCAATGAGTACTATTTCCCATTTAGAATGTTATTCCTGGCAGTGAAGAGGAGGCTTTGAAAGCCAGGTGCCTCAAACTCAAATTACTTGGGGGCCAAGGGCTCTCCCCTAGGGTTTCCAAATAAATGTATTGTTTCCCGACATAACCCGGAGCGTAATCTGGTCTGGCTTTATCCATTTGTCTACAAAAGTTCTGTTGGATCCTTGACATTTCTATTATTATAAATTTATAAAGACCACACAGTGGAAAATAAAAACCCTGCTTCTGTAAAACATGCAAAATTTCATTTGCATGTTAAATAAACAGCTATTCAATTTCCACTCCAGTGTGTCACGCTTGTCTGTTTGTTGCAGTCGACCTTACAATGCGCCCCTCCTGATCGAGTGACCAGCTGAGGGTGATAGCTGTGGGCTGAACTAGAGCCCGACCAATATCATCTGAAGATATCCGCCTACGATATCATTGAGTGGGTCGCTACAGCTCCAGAACAACTTTGGAATGATAATGTAACATCGATGGAGAGCATCCACACATCAGCATCAGACAGTAACAATTGAGACAACAGGACTTATGTTTTAGTACAGAACTATACTGTATATGAAGCAGCTCCAGTTGGTTTATCCATCATCAACCAGACAGTCCGCAGTTAACTCAACACTTCCAACACAACTGAGCACAGTTCCTCTGCTGAGGAGTGTTGAAAGCACCAGAAAAAGCAAGTAAGTGGACTTTGAGTGGAGATTGTGTGGGACATCTTAAGGGTTTACATGATGTTTTTGTATCAGATTTAATTTTATTTAACATTTGTAAAAAAAGCCACCTGATTTACACAGTGTGTGGGGGAGCAACAACACCTTGAATGAAGAAGATTATTACTATTACTCATTGTATGAGTTTAAAATAAAAAAGTCATACTTCTTTATATCAGACTTTAAACTCAGAACTCAAATAATTTTTTTTCTCGTGGCTTTAATCTTCTTCTGTAAAGTACACCATTACAAACCACGGCCTGAATAATGACCTTAATGATTCTAGTTGTTATTACTACTAACAAAGTCAGCATTATTACTGGACTGGATCAGTCTACAGGCATTTATTTCTCTGGTAAAGCCTGCTTGAAACTGCAGGAAAGAGTTAAAGGTTCCCTGTTATGTACAGTAGGTTGCAGTCAGAAGGCCCAGTTTGGAGAAGCAGACAGGAGAACCAGCACAAAGGCCAAGTGATGTACTGCTGCGGGTGGGGGCAGCAGAAAAACACATTTTAGCCCCATAAACGCTTTATCAGATTAAGTGTACACTGATCACAGTCAGACGTCTATATGTTCAAATACTATGTATGTGCTGGTGTTTGTTAAACCAGTGGTTCTTAAAAAAAATTTCATTTATGGACCCCCTTTGAAAGATTCCTGTATAAAGAGGCATAATACAGCACAACCTTGTAACCAAAAACACTTAAATGCTTAATTTCAAATGTTTAGAATTCATCAGTAAATCCATGGCAAACCAGTTTTTGTCATCATGCAATAACGTTAAGACGAGAGTGAGATTGCATTGAACTGCATATTTTATTTATTTAGGTTTTAGGGCAGCATATTGAATATAAAACCATTTACATTTTTATTGGACTTATTGTAGTATAATTATTTGATGAATTATGCATGATTATATTGACTATACTATATTTTTAAATTAACATTTTATGACAAATTCACGTACTGCCTGCAGTATTCCAAAGTACCTCTAGGTGATCCCCCATTTGAAAAACAGTGTTAGACTGGTGTTTGTTTCCCAGCCTTTTTTCTTAGGGGACCCCTTTTCTATCATTGAGTAAACTGACAACCCCTGACTGTGACATATTTATGGATATTTCATTAAAGATTCAAAACTGTACAATGAACCCAAACAGTGAACTCGGTCAGTGCAGGACATTTGTCTAAAATTAGAGATTTAGATGAATTTTGAGCAGATTATGCCCTGTAAATATTGAGACGAGCTTTCCTGATATTTTTATACTTTTTATACAATTCTCTGTATTGTGTATTTTAACAGTCATACATACTATCTAACTATCTAAGCAAACAATTGAATTTATTTTTTCACAGGAAAACAAAATGATGAGATATCGGCCTGCAGCATATATCTTTTATGTGTTCTTCGTCCAGACCCCCTGGTTGTGTAAGACACACATTATGTTGGCTGTTAGGACAAGAAAGAAATCACACTCTGCTCTTTGACTCAGCAGTTTTATCTTTGCTGCAGCAAACATTGGATGTATAAATAAATTGAATTTGTTGTTGTGATGGTCACATCTTCTACCAGTGAGGTCAGAGAGATGCATGTTGGATGTTGACAAGCTGAATAGAAACAACCTGCAATAACGCAGTGTGTGTACAGTGCAGCTATCAGCAGCATGCGTACGGTCACACAGCAGCTGGAAGGAGTGTACTGAGCTCAGGGTGTGGTCAGAGAAAGCACCGATAGCAGAACAGTAGTTGATCTGTACGTTCGATAACGTCTTTTATCAGAGTACACACCGGATGCATTTGTCTTTGGTTTCTACTTTTATTATAAAAGCAGGAATCAGTATCATAATACAATGTGTATACATACAGCATATACAATTATTCACTGATAACTGAGGTGGGTGTGAATGGCGAGCTGCTGGCTGGTGATGTTGCCAGGTCCGGTCTACCTGCTGAGGGACTCTCGGAGCTGCTCGTACGTCCTCTGGTCCTGTAACACACGGACAAAGACGCTGCATGTTTGTGGTTTCCACACAGAAACAAGAGTGGAGCCTGAACGGCTTCAAACGGATCCTTAAGGAGGATCTCGGCCCTGCCTCTCTCTCTACAAACAGTCAGAGATCTGACCGCCTACAGCACACACTCCTATTTGCTTAAATTATTATTTTCTGAAAGAATGAAGGAATTCTGAGGACAGCAGCCCACAATTTAATGCTGCAGTATTTAGTGTGGGACTAGTCGGACCGGTTCTCCTGGCTACTTGATAGCAGGGAGGTAATGGGACGGTGATCTGATAGACAGTACAGCACAGAGCCTTCTGCAGCGACTGACACGGTCTGGAATTCTCTGCAGCGACTGGAGCGCTGCCAGAGTAATGCACACATAATGAAGCACTGCGTTGCACTGGGAGGTGTTACTGTGTCATAAAACAACCACATCAGGACATTAAAACGTACGTAAAGGACAACTCATTTAGCTTATCAAACTGAGAAGGGATGTACTCTCAAACTTCTTTTTAGGTTTGTTGGTTTTATACGTTCTGAAATGTTGAACTCATGAATAAAAAGGAAAATAATCACACAACAGTTCAATTAACAAATGGCTCAGAGGATCAAGAGGAAGCTGGGTATTGAACCTTCAGTTATCAGGTACTGACTGAGATGTGTTTGGCACAGTGTGCTCACATTCATAATCTCTTTGATCAGATCCTGATCTAAATCACACTGTTGTCTATTTACACAGTATACAGAATATTTTACACAGTATTAATAGTTTTTCTGTGTGTGTTTAAAGAATATTTAATATTTGACATTCTGGTCTTTCTTTTGTTAAATGAAAAAAAGAGGTTTAGCAGAAACACAAGTAAAGTAAAACTTCAATGATGATGATGATGAAGAGGTTTTATACATCCAAAGAATTTCTATAAAATCCAGAGCAGGCTTCTAATGGTTTATTTGTCAAAACCAGTAGCCACACCAGGCTGGTGAAGAACGAGGGTGTCAGTGTGTTTTATCTGTTTTTTTTTTTAAATATATTTTTCGTTTTTTATGCCTTTATTTGATAGAACAGCTGGAGACAGACAGGAAAGGGGGGCAGAGAGAGAGGGGATGACACGCAGCAAAGGGCCACAGGTCGGATTCGAACCCGGGGCCGCTGCAGCAAGGACTCAGGCTTCAGTTACATGGTCGCCAAAGCTCTAACCACTGAGCTAACTGGGCGCCCTGCTGTTTTATTGTTGGTAATTACCTTTAGTTTTATTATCTACAGTTAAGGAAGAGAAACTGATTACAAATGAAAACCTAAACAAAACAATACAATATAAGTATTGTCACCACTATTCATTCAGGTTTGACATTACTGGACTGTTTAGGCTGTCTTACCTTTTTGGACACAGATGGACGGACTTTCTTGAAGGCATCTTCGAAGTTCTGTTTGCTCACTCTGATGTCAGCAACAGGACCGGAGGAGTACGTGTGACCTGTGTGTGACAGTCAACACAGCTTTAATGGAATTAGGGCGTCGAACAGCAACTGAAGATGTATGAGGAAAGTACGACTAACAGAGTGCTGGTCTGCAAAGAGCCGAATGAAATGCAGTGTTTAGATTTAGCCTGCAGGACAAGTTAACTGCAGATGAAAAAATAAACCAGCCACGTTATTGAATAATTGGCTAATCTCTACAAAAAGACAGAACAACAAGTACTACAGTATGGACATTTTATTAAAAATTCCTATCCTTAGTGCATGCACACTATCTTTACTTCCACATGTCAAACTGTGCCTCAACAGTAAAGTGAAACCATGGGAACCTTTCCACTCACTACTTTACGTTACAGTCCCATGTGGTGTTACAGTACCATCTTTAAATCAGAGGTAGGTGTGAAGTTACCAGAATAAGCTGCTGAGGAATGCTGGGACTTCAGGTAGGCCCTCAGGGCATTAACAGATGCTTCCCTCACTAACGCAGTCAGGTCAGCACCCCTGGATGACACACACAGACACACACAGAGACACACAGAGACCTTTAGACTCAGTCTGGATTATTTTTCATTCTCACACAGATTGATGGATCAGTGCTTGTACATTTAGTCAGCAAGAGAACTGACATTGCAACAGCTCAGCCACTATTAAAACATCTCCTCCACTCCACGCTGACATCCTCTGTCCACATTACTGTCTTTCAGGCTGTAGCGGGTTCAGACGCATCCTTTGGTACCAACCATGTCATGCTGGCTTGTCAGGAATGGGGTTAAATAACGTAAGGGTAAGTGTTGGCGATGGAACAATCTTAATGGATATTTTCAGGAGGGTCCTCTGACCTTTGACCTCAAGATATCTGAATGAAAATGTGCATGTCTGCGCACTTTATGCTAATCCCATGCCGTTTTTTTGCATGCATTATAACTGTTGTTTTCTCCTAGTGTTTTTAATATTTCTGAATACTGGGGTCGGCAAACAGTGTTGGAACTGTATCAACTGTTTATGAATGGAAAGCTCAGACTCTTGTGGATCCAATGAGCCCAGTTGTATTCATGTGTGCTGATGTTCATCCCATAGGCGCCATTTCATTTTAGTGAGACTATTTTCTGTATAAAATACACTATTGGGACCTCTAGGATAATCACAGCCTTATGAAACTTCACAGGAACAAACTAGAGAGCGAGGGCATCCAGAGGAGGGATGGCTTTCTCACTACACTGTCAATAAGAGGCTTCCTGAGCAAACTCTAGAACAGCAGCACTCGCCATCTAATTCTTAAAGAAATCTCAAAATGTCAGATGTTTCTGATTTCAAATCACAGCACACAGTTCCTGACTTGTCTTTAACATGGTAGTTTGGAAGAATTTTTGACCATTTTTATCAGTTTAAGTGGTCAGGAATGGTTCAATTTTGCACCAAATCTGTGTAACAAATGGTGTTAACCCAAACACTGCTGCAATGACTTATTGAGATGTGGGGATGCCCATAATGCACTTAAACCATAATGTTCTAAGCTCTTACACACTCTAAACAAACGCAATGGTTATTACAGGCTGCAGCTTTCAGATGACGTTCACCACTTCAATGTGGCATATACTGTTGACCTGCCACCTTCCCTTAATGACCCTGCCCACTCTAAAAAAAAGAAAAAAAAAAAGAAAGAAAAAAAGAGTAAAATGAGTTTTACTGTAGGGAGGAGTGGAGTGGGAGAGGTTAAAGCCAGTTCATTCACAGTGTGGATGTGTTCAGCGGGTGTCTGAGGACAGCTGGAACTCACGTGAAGCAATCGCAGCGCTCGTCGAAGGCGATCTCTTCAAGACAGACATCCTGCTCCAGCTGAGGTTTGCTGCCCCCCTACAACATAGTCAACAGCTGTTTCATCTCTGTGCGTTCTGACATGTGGTTAGCCTAGCTTAGCATAAAGACTGGAAGCAGGGGGAAACTGCTAGACTAAAGCCTTCAAAAGGTTTTGAATATTAGGGATGCACAATAGGGATTTGTTTTCTGTCAATAACAATAACTGCTGCTTCCCATAGCCAATACCGATAACATGGCCAATAATTTCACAGTTTTGTATTTTAAAAAGTTCCCAACTTGTTCCTAACACACCTAACGGTAAGAAAGGCTAAGATGTCCTGAGCAAAGCTCTGACCTAACAAAATATAACTTGAACAAGAGTCAAAACTGTTTTGTTGTCATTTATTTTTCTAGCAAAGAACATAAAACTTTAATAAACTGATCATTTATCGTCTGTAATAACATTGTTAGGATAATTCTTAAAATACATTTCCCATTATCAGTCGATAATTTATCTGCCCTGATAATTATGCCTTGTTTTTCTCTTCCTCTTATTTTCCTTATTTAAATATTTGTTTACATACATGTGCATATGTACACGTGTGGATGTGTGTAAGTAGTTATATATATGGGTATGTGAGAGTATACAGTATATATATTTGTTTCTTTTTTCAGTCCCGTGGCTCTAGATGGTACAAATAGGGAAGTGCTGGGAATAACCTGCCATTTCATGTAACTGCTTTACCAAATAAAAAGCAGACAGAAACAGAAAAAACAAACTAGCTACAAAACATTACATTATGGGTTCTTGTGCTTTTTCCATCTTACCTTTGTGATGGTGAGCAGGATGGCGTGGCGGTCTGCTGGAGGTGGCAGACCTACATACAAGGTTTTATCTAGACGACCTGGCCTGAGTATGGCGGGATCGATGATATCTAAAAGACAAGAGTGACAACCATTTCAAAGCCTCTATAAATAGTGATTTGGATCCTATATTTCATGACTGAATACAAAAATATAAAAATATTTTTTTAAATCTACTTAAAAAAACTCTCAAATCAATCAAAATTAAAATGACTCCACAGGAAAATTCCCCCTGTGACCATTATTATGTATGACATTAAATCAATGTGTAAGCAGCATGTTACTGTTAGCTGAGGTGGAGCTGGATTAACTTGTGGATCGTGGAGCTGGATTCATTTGTGGATCTCTTTGAACATTGCAGGAGAACCAACTGTTTTTGTAAAGAGGTCACAAGCCAAAATGGTCTCCTTTCATCTTCAACAAGTACTGTATTTTAAGTAGCAAGTAGTAACTGAAATACTCAAATAAAGTACAGGCACATTTAAATTGTACTTAAGTGCAGTACTTGAGTAAATGTATGTGCTGCTTTCTGCCACTGTTGAAACTGTTGAAACTGTTGAAACTGTTGAAACTGAAATTCTTCCAGCTGTTCCAAACCGTCTCAGCCTCTTTCAGCAGGTCCCTGGTTACCCTGAGGGGGTCCAGGTCTGACTGAAGCTGGATCTGTACCTGGTCTGTTGGTGGCGGCCATGATGAAGACCTGCCGTCGAGTCTCCAAGCCGTCCATCTCTGTGAGCAGCTGGTTGACCACGCGGACGCTGGCTCCTGACTGAACACACACAGTGGGTCACATGTAGAAAGCAATGAGCCCAATACATTTTTCATTTACAAGATATTCAATCTCTGTCTGTTTAAAAGCAGTCTTCTACTCCGACTTAACAGTGTGAAGTTTTGGTATTTGTTACAACAGTAAAAATATTACTTTTGGTATCAGTTTTTGGAACAATGTATAAACATTTCATATTGTAGGAACATAAGGACAGTTTCACGTTAATAAAGAGGTTTATTTAATGAGTAAACCATTTTGGCAAATTCTGAAAACTGACAAAGAAAAAAAAAATTAATTAACTAAAAATAGAATAATCTTAAATAAAAATCCCAACTTGAAGAATGTAGTCAAAATTGTGATTTTGATAGTATAAAGTGATTTACACCACTACAAAAAAATGCCCATTCAATATAGAATATATGATGTAGCGTTTTCAGACTTCTCTCTTTTGTTTTGAGAATAAAAGAGAAACAATAAAAGGTGATGAAACAGGAGATGAGTACAACGGCATAGGTAGGTAAGTTAAAATTAATGTAATTAATTAAAAAAAAAACATTTTAAAAAGAAAAAATACTTTATTCTCTGAGATGGAGTAGCAGATCCCTCAGTAATCTGCTAGAAAAAAACTCACTAATTTGTAAGAAAAAAACAAGAAAAGGTGATAAAAAAAGTTGAAAATAAATACATTTAAAACTAAAAAAAATGTTTCAGAGGTTTTTCTCAGAATATTATCCTCACTTTTTTATCCATAATGGCCCTAAAGTGCTGCTGTAGGTAAGCACTTAAACCTACAAATGTCATCATTAGCTCTTAAGTGGAAATGTTATATGATCAACACCTAGACGCAAGACTCACAAAACACTGAACACATTGTTTGTTATGCGTGTACTGCAGCATATGTGACCCCACTCCTGTTTCCCAGGGTAGATGTACATCAGCTCTGTGGAAAAGCAGGAATTTGATCTCAATGCTGCACCCTGACTGCTCCTGCTGTCTTTATGGTGCATCTAGTGTGCACTACTGGCATCAACTGACAGGACGCTCCACTGCGCAGCTGCTGCGCTGCATTGTAGAATGATGTGTCGAACATGATGCTTATGGATTTCATTGTAAATCGAGATCCCTCTCACCTCGTGGCCTGATCGGCGAGGACACAGAGCATCGATCTCATCAAAGAAGATGACACAAGGAGCGGAGCTGCGTCCTCTCTGGAAGACCTGTCTGACCGCCCGCTCACTCTCTCCCACATACTGCACAGACAAGCATCAGTTAGTTCTAACATCGGGACAGGAAACAGGACAACAAGGGTGAACCGCTGCTCCGAGAGGGTTTACAATATTCAGTGTGAGGGTGTGAAGAGTAGGACTCAAAGTGGGATCATGTAAACAGGATGGGAAAAATAGGGCAAATCAAGCACACTGAATTGATGCTAGCAGAACACAGTAGGCAGAGGTTAGAAAGGAGTGTCTGTACTGTGATCCAACTCAACAACAATGCAACAATACAAAGGCAGCCTCTGCTACACAAACATGTCCCTGCAGCTTACTGACTCACCATGTTGAGCAGCTCTGGACCCTTGACAGAGATGAAGTTGAGGCCTGACTCATTGGCCACTGCCTGTCAGGAGACGACACAGTGAGACATAGTGAGACAATGACCAGCTCCTCTGTCTTTGTAGAAACAAGTTTGATTTAAGAACACGAAAAAAACATTTTTTATCAACTTTCTTCTCCTCCAGGATGGAGAGGGTGCAGAGCTCTCCTTAATGTAGATAACGAGAGGACAAACATGCAGCCATATTCCAGGAAATTGTGTAAAAACATGCGGAAACAGTTTCTTGAAGAACAGTCGTGACTACAGGTTTTGGGCTCTGTAGAGGCACAAAGGTACCAAATCTGGCAACCTCACTGTGATGACAAGACTCCAGGAAGCTGCGTCACTGCACCTGGCTGCTGTTCAACAAGAAATAGTTCCAGCACGTTAACTCCTCCTACAACCACAACTTACTGTAATTTCTGTTTCACGTCAATAAAATAAATATCTGCTCAAAGATTGTCAAACGACCGATGAGAAACTTTATGAATCAGCCAACCATAATAATGGGCTGGCTAAGTTAAATGTATGCATGTTTGTTTCTTGTCCTAATTTATGTCTTTTCTGTGATGTTGCAAACAGAGCTGCTGTGACACAAGAAAAACATCAGACTTGATCTGACAATTGTTCGTCAATGAGCTTTAGAGGTGTTAGTAGGTGTATTCTTTTAAATTTGTCTCTATTGCTAAGCTAGGCTAACCATTTCCTGATTCCAGAGCTGTTTGAGATTTTGGTCTCATTTCACTTTCAGAAAGTTTCAAGTGTCATCGGGTTCAATTTAAGACCATTACTAATGCCATTTCAGACCTATTGTACATCTATACTGGCAAAAAAGGTATGTGGGATATGAAGGAAATTCCGTATTGGTTCCATTTTGGTTTGGTTTTGTAGCTGTTGCAGCATGATCAATACACATTCTTTAAAAAAAACTTTATACAAGTAACATGAACTTAATTAATACTTAATTAGTAAATTTTTAAGATCTGTCAAACTCATATTTTGAGACATTTATTGGATTTTAAACTTTTAACGACCCAGCAGACCCCCTGATAAATGATTTTGTCATCAGGGCCCCTCGGCTTTGGAACGAGCTGCCTGAGGACATACGGTTTGCAGAATCAGTGACTTCTTAAATTCTGACTTCTTAAAACTAATTTTTTAGGGTTAGACTTGCCTTTATGTGATGTCGTATTTTTTTTACCATTTATTACTATTATTCACATTCACATTTTCAATAGTGCTGTGTAACTATCAGGTATGATTGTGTGGAACCTTAGCCAGCAGTGTTTTTCCACATCCTGGAGGTCCAGCCAGCAGCACACCAGACGGAGCACTGAGCCCCAGAGCTCTGAACTGCTCTGGAGAACGCACTGGAGCCTGCAACACAAACACAAACACAAACACAAACACAGATACAGAGACACACACACACAGATACAGACACACAGACAGGGACATAGCACACACACACAGCTGTGTTAGTTAGGGCAAACAGTAACGGTGAATCAGATCAAACGTGGGCCAGATCACAGCCAGTCCACCACTGCACTCTAAATAACCCAGTCTGTTCATCTTGTAGCTATGGACACAGGACAGTCTTCTGGGACCAATAACAGCTCACAGTCATGGCACATCTACATTTTCTTGATAAATCTCTGTAAATATTAAAAAAGGGACATGGTCTGCAGCTATGGAATCATTTTAACATATGAAATCTCATCCTTAAATTAAAAGTTGAAAGTATGACAACACGTAATGATCCCAGAGGCGAGGCTGAACCAGTTTACCAGTATGGCCATGGTGAGCTCCTCTCTGATGTCCTGCAGCGCTCCCACATCCTCCCACGTGACATCAGGCACGGTGGCGAAGCCCTCCCTCTTGGCCGAGGGCTGGACACTGGCCAAAGAGGCCTGGAAGTCTGACATGAGGATGGACAGGCCGGCCAACTCTTCCTCTGACAGACTCTCAGTGTTCTTCAGCAGGTGCAACAGGTGCCACAGCTCCCCCTGCTGGACAGAGCATGCAAGTCAAATAAATAATTCCATAAGTGGAAAGTGCTGTCACTCTCAAACTACTTGATTACATTATTACGGTTTCCTGATGTGATTAAAAGTTCAGTAATGTTTGGAAACACAGCAGGGCAACTGATTAAACTGATTTTACATACATTTCTCTTGAACACGGTGACAAAATGCAAATAATCAGTTAAAAATGTACCAAAGGCTGAGTCCTCGCTGTAGTCTTTGCTATGTATCAACCCCCTTCTCTCTCCCCCCTTTCCAGTCAACCTTCAGCTGTCCTATCTAATAAAGGCAAAAGCTCCATACCTGCTGGTGGTTCTGTCCCGACTCTTCCTGAGGTACTGGGTTCATGATGTCTGCAGTCTGTTGCTCTCTGACCTCATCATCTGTTGCAGCAGGCTCAGTCTGGACTCCGCCTGTTAACGGTTCTTCAGTGGAGGTCTGGCGGTGGCTCTGCGGCCATCCTCTTATCTCCAGCAGAACCCTGTTGACGGCACTCATGGCAGCTTCGCGGCACAGAGCCATGAGGTCTGCGCCCACATAGCCTGGGGTGAGGCGGGCCAGCTGCTGGTATTCGAAGTTCTCCGGCAGCTTCAGCTTCCGACACAATGTCTTCAAGATCCTGGCAGAGCACAGAGCATTCTGAGTGTGAACAGAGCCAGAGATTGTGATCATTGGGTAAATGCCTAAATCCCAACGATTTGCACATATCACTGTGACGGAGGAATCTACTGGAAAGAGCACATATTAGAATGTCAAACACATCAACAGAGATCTGTGAGGAAATCTGGAGATGTAGGGATGATATATGGAGCTTTGACCAGCAGGTAAATAGACAAAATGCAAGTGGAAATGTGTTTTGAGACTAATAATCTGGATTATCACGACGTGATGTGGATCCCCATGTATGGCTGACCTGAGACGAGCTGCTTCATCAGGAATACCCAGGCAGATCTCTCTGTCGAAGCGTCCCGCTCTGCGGAGGGCGGGGTCCAGGGAGTCTGGCCTGTTGGTGGCACCGATGACCAGGACCTGTGCTGTCACTGTCAGACTGTTCAAGTCTGTCGGGAGGCAAGCACCAAAGATATGTCATCTCCCCCGCGGAAGTCCAGCTAAAGAATCTGATAGCATTCCGTTTGATGTGTGTGCTAAACATGCATGTGTGAAATTCTCTAATTTAAATAGCTAGCCCAAACTGCCGCTGCTATTTCCACTTGCAGCTCTTTACTAGACAAGTTTAATATGTTAAACTTATTCCACGAAAAGGGTATTTAACGTAATATGAGTCTGCTTGTTCCAGTAAGTGAACTTTCCTCAAGTACACGTCACTATGAAGGCAGTGTACCCTACCGTCCATGCATGTTAGCAGCTGGGCTACAATCCTCCTCTCCATGTCTTTAGAGGCCACCTCTCTCTTAGGGGTGATGGCGTCTATCTCGTCTATAAACAGGATACATGGGGCGGAGCTCTGCAAGGGCAGAGAGAAAGACGTGGTCGACATTATTTATCATATATCAATAACAGCAGTTATACTGGATCAGCAAGAAGAAAAGCTCCACTGACCAAAGCCAGGTCAAACAGCTCTCTGAGCTTCTGTTCAGACTCCCCGGACACTCCAGACACCAGCTCCGGAGCGGACACCTTCAACATGGGCAGCTGCAGCTCCTGAAACAAAAGATGGGCAATTTCTATATCCGTATTCACAGTGGCAGGCAATTTAACAGAACTTGCAACACAGCATTTCAGATTCAACAGGACTATTTTCTCCATGGGCTGCCGTTCAGCCTGTACTCACCCCGGCCACAGCCTGGGCCAGCAGGGTCTTTCCACAGCCAGGGGGTCCGTGGAGGAGAAAGCCCCTCGGAGGAACCATCCCCAGCTGCTGGTATACCTCTGGGTGACGAAGGTGGATCAGCAGCTTACACACCTCCTGCAACAAGGTCAAATAATAGCAAGTGAAAACTACAATACAAATGGATAATATAACATACCCTCAGCAATGAAACTGAACTCCTAGTGGACGCTGTGAGGTTGAAGATACTAACCGTTAACGTCTCTTCATTACCTCCCACATCTTCAAACTTCAGAGAGGGATACTGCAGCTCTGGAGACTTTGACTTAGCTGAGAAGTGATTCATACAGAAAAAATGGCTTGTAATGTAACATAGAGGACTATTAATCAATTAAACAACCTCAAGAAATAAACATTACATAATAAACACAATAAATACATTCATCAATAATGGAAATAATTGTTAGCTGCGACCCTATGTGCAGTGTTTGACAGGCTCAGTAAGGATTAGGTTGTTGTGTGCTGATCTATATTTTATAGTTAGACTCTAGTTAAATAGACGAGGTAGTACCTTTCTTGGTCAGTGTGCGTGACTCAGTAGTTTCCTTGGAGATCTTTGTCCTTTTTTTGGACTTTTTGTGAGATTTCTCAGGCTCCAGCATGGAAACATCTGTCTGCGGGTGACAAAAAGAAATGGCAGTTGGTGGATGAGTCGAGCATCGTCAGCTGAACACATACAGAGCAAAGTGAAATACCTCGAGTGAGGGGGTCAGATTATTGTTCATTCCTCATTCCTCTGGTTTGTTGTTGTATTAAGGTCCACATGTTTTATAAGGGCAAAAAACTTTTCTAGCACTAAATGGCTGATGAAATAACTGTCAATCATGCATCACTGCCCACACATCACACCGACCCAATACATCAGCATTGGTGGTATTATATTTTACTGTATCACAGAAATATAATATATATAATACAACCTATCATGTTTAAACTGTCCTGCTCAGTACATATCATCAGTGTTGAACAGTAAGGCATTACTAGTAATGATATTACAGTAATAATAATATTACTTTCCCAGTAACTAGTAGTGTAACTTAATAGTACCGTTAACCCCCCCAAAAATAATTAGTTACAACATTAATACCTACTGATTTGAAATCCAACAATCCAATTACATCCTTTGATTCCTTGGAGGAAACTAACTTGGAAGATGGGAACACTTAAAACTCAAAAAAGTAGTGTAACTAATTACTGTTGGCAGGGAGTAAGAAGTAATAATATTACTTTTGAAAAGAGTAATGAGTAATAAATAACCTTTTCTGAGCCCAACACAACACAACGCATGTCTTGGTCTTCAATAAACAAATTCCTTCAAAAATGTATATGTTCTGTTTTTATGTTAAAAAAAATACTGGAATTGGAAAAAAATAAAATAAATTTAAGTCACAATATATTGAATCATAACCACTGTATTGTAATATGTATCGGATCGCTAGATTCTTGCCAATAAACAGCCCTCTTATCTAACAGGCAATGTTTTATATTCTGAGCTTTTTCCCTTGTGAGAGAACAACATAACACCTACTGAGTTACAATGTCAAGTTGTACTGCAGACCTCCACGTGTACATACATTTGTTGCTGTGTTAGTTGGCTCCTCTTCACACAGGTCGATGAGGATGTTGCTCTTCTCGGGGCCTCTGCCTCTATCAATGAACCAGCCTCCTGTGGAAACCAGCGTCCCTGCATTAGGAGGGGGGTTGGCTACGGTGGCAGGACTGCTGGCAGCAAGCTGATCTCTCCTGGGTGAGGAGCAGGCGCTGGAGTCGGGCTGTCCCTTCCGGTAGAGGGATGTGAGAGAGCTGTTCATGTGGTTGGTGGGCTGTGGGTGTGGGTGTGGCAAAAACACACAGTCAGAATCAGATTTAAAAATATTGATTAAAAAAAAGCCTAGGTGGAGCCAAGTGCACTCTCAGTGCTAAATATATGATTCTACTTTATTAGCCAGCAGTGTGAGTTGAAGGAAATAATATAACCAACACGTTTCTACTGTTATTCCTTAGATTTAATCTTAACATCATTTCTTACAGTGTTCTCCAGAATGTGGTCATCACTGTCAGAGGACTCCTCCGAGCTGCTGCTGCTGTCACTGTGAACACACAGGAGGGGAAGGCGTTAGTTGGAGAGTGGAGCAGAGAGAAGGACTGTTAGAGCCCTGAGGTGACAGACATGATCCGCTGGTCCAAACCAGGCAGTAAGCAGAGAGGGTCCTTTACCCAGTGTCATTGTGGCTGTGCTTAGCTCTCTTAGCCAAGTGCTTGCTCTCCAGATCATTGAGCCCAGACTCTTTCGCGATCACCTCGTACACTATGAGACAGGAAAAACGACATTGGAGCTCCTTAAAATACATATTGCAAAAGAGGACGCTTTTATGATGAAAACTGCAATGGACTGGTTGGACCATGAGGGCGGCTGTGGCTCAGAGGCAGAGCGGGTCGTCCCCCATTCGGAAGGTTGTT